AGCAGGAAAAACAGATCACACTTCAAAGAGAGTGTAATGCCTGCTGCAGCAACTATGCCTAAATCACGATGCAAAAGGCAGAATAAAGCAGCAGAAAAAAAGATGTTATTGTGGAGGTAACCTTACACTCTAACCTTGCTATTATACTTTAACTTAGCTTTAACAGTTGCTACAACATCGTTGATGCTGTTGACATACACATCATTAACACCCTTGGAGATGGCAGAGCACCCTTCAGGAGTACCCTGTCCTATGAAGGAGACAGGAGCACACTTCCCAATTCACAGTGAGAAAACCAAGGCACAGAAATGTGAAATTACTTCAGTCACCCAAGGGGCAGGCTGGAGCAGGAGCAGGACCAAGCCTTCTGCTCCTTACACCTTTGGCTCAGTACAACACAGGGTAATGCTGTTCACAAAATCCCTGTGGTAGCTTAGAGACAGATAGGGCCAAACAGAGCACGGTCCAGCATCCTACATAAACACTAACTCAAGGCCTGAAAGCAATTAGTGTAGTGTAGCACTGTGCCCATGCCAGTCTGTCCCATCTTCCACAATGCTGCACAGGTAGGGCTGTCCCATTTCCAACCCTTTGTGGGTTAGCTCAGGCATTTGTAGGGCTGGATGTAAGGATGCTGCAGTCTGCCAGGCTAATCACTGTTCCTCTCTGCCTCTGAACCCTGAGAAATAACACCCAAGACAGAGAGTGAACATGTGCTGATAGGTGTCCAGAACAGAGTACAAGCTTGCTATGCTAGATGGAGAGAACATGAAACTTTACAGACTAATCTGTTTAAGAAACAACCACCTTATCCTTTTGCTCAGAAGTGCTCATGATGGGCTCAGCAGCAGACCATGAAAAGGTAATTTCCAGTATGTTTCAGGGTGACTTAGAGAATTTTGTTGTTTGCTTTTCTTGCTGAATTAAGGACCGTTTTATGTGTATTCAGATAGACTTTGTTAAAGCAAATATATAGGCATAATCTTGAATTGTCTTAGGGGGGGAAAGATAACTGATGGCAAAAGCGATGTGGTGCATTAGTCTAATTTCATACACAGTGACAGAGATCGGATGACTAACTGCAGTTATTTTTTTCCCATTTAGTCTCAAAATCATTAATTTCAGAAAAACTTTTGGTTTCCATTGTAAAGTTTTTCCTCACCTGTAATGAGTCATAATAACAGACACACAAATAGAGTATTTTGTGCCTAGCAACCCAAAATATTAAAACCTTTCATCTAGTTACCACTGAACAGCTACATCACCTATAGTACAAAATGATAAACAGGGTATAGTAAGCCAGTGCAGAGTAATTTCCATTTCCATTTATATTTTAAAATACTCTGTTACTCGTCTATGCAAACAATTTCTTGCTGTGTGTTTTTAATAACATTCCCCTCTTTGGATCAGAAAAGTATTGAAAGTCTGAAATAACCACCTTGGGTTTAAAAATAGCTAACACAATAGAATTTCCAGCGCAGTTTTGGAGAGAATGACATGGAATATAAATGACTTTTTACTTTATTACACTTTTAGTGTCTTCTAGAGAGCAATGAAATCTTCTTATAGTTGTCTCAAAATGATAAAAAAAATGTGTGAATCTCAGCAGATGCAGTCAAAATAAATGGAAGTGTCACTATTTGCTCTAACCTTTTATTTCTCTAATTGAAATGTATTGTGCTAGAGTATCATATTTGCATAACCACACACATACAAACGAGGTTACTTCAGGGCTACCCTGCCTCATTCAGACAGAAGTTGCCCCCTGGAAGAGGATAATTCTAGAATAACACAAACCTGAGCTTTCTGCAGCACAAATTGTTATGAAGTAAACTCTATGTCTTAGATTTCCAAGAGTTCATTTCTTGGCATTTCTCAAAACCGAGTGATATTGGAACAGTATGGGTGGTCTTGAGATTTGCTATCTGTTACTAATTTCAAACTACAAAATACTACAGTACAAAGTAATGCTCTTCTTCCTCCCACCCTCTGTTTTTAACATTGCCAGTTTTCAGTCAATAAACAAATGAAAGGTAACAACAAAAGGAATGCCACATAGCTGTGTGAGCTTCCTTGAGCGTCAAACAGTTAAGACTAGGGGATGCAAAAGTCCATGATGGCAGATTACTTATGCACAGATAAGTGGCCCCACGGAGGCTACTGCTGCTGGTAGACAGTTATGGCCCCATTTGACAGAGTCCTACAGCAGCAGAGCTATGTGGCAATGATCTCAGTCCATCAGGTGACTCTCCAGTGCAGCAAAGACACCAGGTGTTCACGGTCTGAATGGAAATGTCAGAATGGACAAATGGGATGGTTTACTGTGACTACACAAGAGCCAGCCCCACTGGGGTAAACCAGAGAAAAAGATGAACTGCAGATCGTTGGGAAACGATCAGAGATGCTAAGACGTAACTGAGATGTGAGGCTGTGGGCTTCTTTGGTTAGTATCAGTAGACTGAAGCTCATCTTATTTGTGTGTGGAATAAGGGAGGGAATGTGTTTGCATTACAGTCCCCAAAAAAGAAACATTCACTTCTGCTTTCATTGTAACTAGAATGTCAACATTTATCTCTGTAAAGCAAACTATCTACGTACACATAGAGAGAAGTAACAGAGTTATCAGATATATCTTATATATATGCCCACACTCATACACATACATGACCCAGCAATTGTTACTTTTTTAAATGACCATTTTAGATTATGAACCAGAGGAAAAAAACAGTTTATTAAAGGAAAAAAAAAAAAATCTATTAATTAGGTATTTCTTCAAGGACCCTATAATGAAATAAATACATACCTAACCCAACATTCGTATTTTAATGCTTAATATAAGTGCAAGGTGTGCTGCTAATCTTTCTCTGATTGTGAATGTGGTTGTTACTGCATTTTGTAATTCTTTGCAGAGCTGATGTACACAGTTGAGCTTGCTGGTGGGCTTGGTGCTATTCTGCTGCTGCTTGTTTGTTTAGTGACTATCTACAAGTGTTACAAGATAGAGATTATGCTCTTCTACAGGAATCATTTTGGAGCTGAGGAACTAGATGGAGGTAAGGCAGCTTCTTGGTACATTTCTTACTTTCCAAGTATGTCTGTCTTTTATTTCTCTCCACCAAGGCCCAAATCTAATTTCAGTTCAAGATGCGTTAACCACTACAATTTTTATTTCTCACTGCATTAGGCACTGACTTGAATATGCATTCCTCATACAGCACATTAGCAGCAGTGATTGCTGAACTAATGTACATGCTCTCTCTGGAGCTCCAGAAGACACCCATGACTTTTAGATTTTTTATTCACAATACTGAATGTAAATCACCAACATTGATGCATTAAAAATTTTCACTTTCTGTCACGACTAGAAACCAGCTTCACTGCTCTGTAAGCTAGGGAGTGTCTTCTCTAATTGTATTTGCCAAATAGGTTGAGGTTGAAGTGAATCTCAATTTGCTGCTTGTTTAAACTATCAGTTTCAATAAACTGTACCGAGCGTTTGGGAATGTACCTAGACATTCGTTTCCTTGAGTCCATTTACTTAATCACTGAGAGAGCAGCTAATGGTCATTAAAGTTCTTCTGTGATTCAAGGACACCCAGCCTAAACAAAAGTAATCCACAACGCATGCACCAGCTTGTGACAAATATAGACGTGTTTTTTTTCTGCTCTTTTTAAGCACTGAAGAAAAAGGTCTTCTTTGCTTCTAGCCCAACTAATTAAAACTGCTGTTGAATAGTGGACTGAGTTGAGCTGCAGGCTCTGATTAATTAGATTGGTTTCTTGGGTCAGAGTTCCTGATGGTTGGTCCTACCACTACATCTTTGGTAACAGGAGCTTCCTTTTTACTGAAATACTAATAAGAGTTATTTTACAGTTCAAGGTAATAGCCTGTGGGAAGAAGCCACTGGTACATATTAAAATAAATATGTAGTGATAAATAAGCACTGGCCAAGTCTGTTACTGAGTAGACAGAGGAGTGGCAGCGGAATTAGAGGTCCTTATATAAGGGAAAGACTTCCATAATAAGATCACTAGGGAGTGACCCACTTCTGCCTCCCATATAAAAAGGCACAAGGATTCAAAATAGAAAATGCTCAGAACAAGCCCAAGAACATTTTGTATCCTTCTACTGGAATTAGAAAAAGGGTGCATTAATATAGCAGCTTGGGGGGGGAATCAGGTTATTCTACTTATTTTACAGACGAAGAAACTGAGGCCCAGAGGGTCTGTGACTTATGGAGGATTTTGGTAGATACTTTTTTTTTTTTTTCCAGAAAAATGAGATCCTCTCTATTCTGCAATTTAAATGGGCATGCTTACTTCCATAAATTGTGTGAATTTAATAATAGTCATATTATATTATGCAGAAATAGACAGAGTAATTAATAATTGTTTAAATAGATGCAGTGTAATGTTTTCTTTCTCAGTACTAATAATTCTTACTTTTACAACTGTCAGTTATTGTTATCTCAAATCATTCCAATTAATTTGCAAATTTACTCTAGTAGGTGTTACATGCTTGCCTCTCTCTTCTCCCATCCCAAGCACTGGTCACCTGGGAACAAAAATACTGTAATCACATATTTTAAAAAAACAGAAGAGTGACCTCAAAAGAATATTGTTCTGGGATTCAAAAAGGAGAAACCCAGCATCCGTTCAGTTTATCCTTCTGAGCAAAGATGATTGTTGAAGAAGACAAAGCATAAATTCTCCTTAGATAATCAATGCAAACATTGGTAGCTGGAGTGCTTAACTACAGTAATATAAGAAGGAAAGTGCTACTTGCAGATTCTTAATGGAAACCTGTACCTTCTACGGTACTCAATATACCAGCAACGTGGATAAACCCCATTGTGCAAATGAAGTTACTGTAGGTGGACTTTTTACTCTTTCTCTTTCACACCCTTGCAAAACCAAGAAAACAGCAAAAATGCCCCACCCAAGACCAAGCCATGGCTTGTGCAGAAATAAATTGCAGATATACATCCAGATCCTTTCCTTTGGCTTAGTTTGCTGCTGACAGACACAAAGTGCTGAACTCTAAAATCTTCTAACCACATCTCCCGCAGTGCAACAGCACAGTGCCCCACGTGCTATTCATAATTTACACCGTGTTCTGACATACTTTGGGACAGCATGTAGATAAGCAAACATCAAAATATCACAGACTTTTTTTTTTTTTTTTGTGGCCTATATTGTACCCAGAGAGGATTTGAAACACTTTAAATGAGGTCCAATTAAAATTTTCAGTTGAAAACCTCTTTTAAAATGCAAGGCTTCATTTCTTCCCTGATCAGACAATAAACCCTTCAGAATGTCAAATCTCATCACAATTCCTCTTTCCTTTCCAGGCCTCAGACAGATCAGTTTTTCTCAGGCTAACATACACATTTCTGTAAGAGGCACGATAAATTGCGAGAAGTATTTGAAAACAAAGTATTTAACCCTTAGAGCTAATGCAACTTAATTTGTAACTTTCTATAGGGGAATTTTAGATTAAGCTAGTGATCACAGCTGCTGGTTCTCTAACTAGCAGCTTTGAATTTCCCATCTTCTCTCTCATCCTGGGGACTAGACTCTTCTGGCTTTTCTCTCTCCTGTAAACACTTCAGCCCAGTGTCACCTCTGTTGTCTCCTGGGAACAGGAACCGAAGCCTCTTTTTTTGTTTGTTTTCATAGTTAATTCCCTGCCTTTCGTACTAAATTGGAATATAATCAAATCCAGCTCACATTTTATCAGTTTTCCTCCCACTCTGAGCCCGTGCTTTCTGGCTGCCTGGGAGCTGACTCCACACCAGGGGACTGCATGACAGACACCATGTTGTGTCCTCCAGTGTGGAGCCATGCGACATGCCAGTGTTCAGTCCGGGGGCCTCACTGGAGATGTCTGACAGATTCCCCTGGGAACGAGAGCACAGGAGCCAGAAAAATTATTTGGCCCTTGGCAAAGCAGTGACTTTCTCACCTGCAGGCATTCGGCATGACCTTACAACTCGAAGACATAACTCGCCCCTTCCAGTCTGGTGGTCAGAAACTCCCAAATCTGTTTTAAGTGGAGAATTTCAGTACAAGATCTCTCTACATACATGATGAATATGAAAACAAAATTTTCAGAGATGCATACTTCTCCGGTAGCCTTTAAGGGCTGATTATTGTTAAATGACAAGCAACCTTTTATAGGTTTGAAGCTCTAAACGTAAAATCTTATCTTTAAAAGCCTTGGCCACTGAGTGCCCTTTAAGGACTAACGTATTATTAGTGAAAGCCACTTTCAGAAGTGACGATTTCTTCTATTTTGCTGTACATTGAGCTCCAACATAAGAGATTTTATACAACCTTCATCCTCTTAAGGGTGTTCTAGCAATTATTGCTTATGTATTTCTGTTTTCCAAGGATCTTCTTTTGCTGCCTTTCACAGTTTTTTAATGACTTGATGAAGAAACTAAGTATTGTACTTTAACCAAGAAGAGTGAAAAATGCAAGTAAACATTTACAAGTACCTGTGGTCAATGCATACCCTGACTTCTTTCTACCCTGTGCTCTGTGACCTTAAAAGGCTATTTGTACAAGAAAAGATATTGCCACTGTAGAGAAATCAGCTCTTTGCTGACATCTGGGGTCCCTAAAATATATGTAAATTTTCCCAGGGTTTTACCTGTCCTTTGTGAGACTGCTCCCGCTCATCAAGTTGTGCAAGGATTAGTCCTCAGGCATGACACCCACAGCAGACACAGAGTGCAGAAGGGAGTCAAACCATTTCTCAAAGTAACACCATTTATGATGATGCCTTAAAGTGAACAGGAAGCTCAAAATCACCCAGACAGTTATTTTCAAATTTTTCTTGCCATTTCAAGACCTGAGAGTTTCCAGTGGATGTGCAGATGTATGCCAGCTTTAAGTTATACTAAGGATAAATCCAGAAATTTGCAAATGACAGGCTGAAAACCATTAGATATGGCCAGATAGCCAAAATTACTCTAAATCATGAATTCATACCTGTGTTTACATTCCAAATTCCAGTTTCAAATAAAAGAGCATACAGTACATTTAGCAGTAGAAACAGTCTACAAGCCCTAGCCCCTACCATTACCTGTGTACATTACTAACTGTTGAAATTGGTGGAAGTTTTCACAAGAAGGAATTAATAAGCAAGGGGTGAACACTATCATTAAAATGAAGAAAATTTACAATAAGATGCTGGTACTAAAATTGATACAAATAAAACACAACAATTTAAAAGAAGATCTGAACAAATTTGTTGTAAATAGGTTTTTTTATGAAATTTACATAAATATCCTTTCTCACAGCTAGGCTGATGAGAAGATATAGGCTCAAGAACAAAAAGAACCTGGAGGCAGCTGATAACTGGAACGAGAGACAGCTTTGCTTAGCAGGTGTTATGACAACCTTCACAATGACCCTTAGTCCCTTTAGGTCCCATCAGCTGTTTCTGCAATATTGGACGGGAGCTCTCCATGCTGACTTCAAACTTAGTCTCAGCTTTCCTTGTCAAGGAAACCTTAGGGAATTGGCGGGAGACACAGCCTCTGTGCAGCTGGGGTGTAGGCAAGGAAGGTGCCTGGAAGCCAGGACTGGGGAATTCACCTGGGTTTCAGTTCTGCAGGTTGCTCTTTTGTTTGGTTTTGGTTTGTTTTTTTTTTTTTCCCCCACATTGCTGAAATAAAACAAAGGGCTCGTAACGTGATTAAAATGTGTCACTGCTGCGGTTGCTAAATTCAGGAAATCCTACATAGATTTGGTGCATGACTTCTATAGTGGATGTTTCTTGGCTGTGCTGGTTGCACTGTTTTACTAGATGAGTTTATAGTGTTTGCTGAGGGGAAGCAAATCGATGTTCAAATTAGGAGACTGACGAAACAGTTTCTGCCTTGAAGTCTCTGTTGTACCTGGGACTACTTAGGTAATCATGATTTTTGTCCTTGCTATTATTTAGGTGCAAAAATCTAGCATGGTTCATGGACAGACCTGTGAGATTGCCCAGAGAGTATCTTACTAACTGCACAGGACAAGAGTGGTTAAGAAGTACTTCTTAGTGGTTTCCTGGGTTTCAGCCCAGTAAACCTCTCACACTGCAAGGAAAGGCTGTGCTTTGAGATTCTTAATGTTTCAGTGTGATTTACTTGTTAACTTTCAAACAAATTTTACCAATGGTTTGGGCACTGCCAAAGCACTTGTGTTAATGATTAGGCTATGCAGGTATAGCTAGACTGAAATTACTGCTGAAGTTAGTGACTTTGCAATTACAGAATCTTCCCTGGGGACCTATAGAATAATTTTGCAATAGCAGTCTCTCCACTGTGTATGTATTCTTATTGGCTATTGGCAAATTGTGGTAATAAGAAATCCTGCTCTATGAATATCAATTTCAAATTATATTAAAATCACATTTAAGAAAATGCAGCTTTCATCTTTCTAAATATTACGGGTTGCAAAAAGGGATTTTCTTCATATTTAATTAAAATTTTATTGTTGAACTGCTTTTCTTAACTCTTCTTTTTTATGGCATGTATTTACATCTGAAATGCAATTCAAACAATAAATTCTTGATTTATGTCCCCACTGAATATGGGATTTTCTAGATTCTGTCAATGAAACTAATTTAAATAAAAATTGCTGCTTTTTTGTCTCTTCCTACTTTATAGGATCTAAAGTACATAGATAATACATATTAAAAAAAAAAACAAACAAAAAAAACAACAACAACAAAAAAAAACCAATAATTGCACCAAGAACACTTTTGGATTGCAAACTAAAAAATTATTACTGGTTAGAAACTCCAGATGTAAATTTTAAAAATCTACCATATATAAATCTGTGAAGACTGATATATCTCCTGTTCCTCAACCAGCACCTCTATCACACACTTCTAAGTTTTAAATTTTTGTTCTCAGAGTCCAAAACACATTACAGATTTCAGAAGTCGGTGAGGTGAACACAGCATATGGACATCTGGTTTCACAAATCTATTTCCAAGCAATTTCTCCCTTGAGTTTAGTTAATATTTATAACTGTTTCCTTAATTTTTTGTTGCATTTGTCTAGATCAAAGCTGTCTTAGTTACAGTTCTCAAAATATTTAATTCAATGATAAGGTACAAGTACTGTCACTGAGATCAACAGAACTAAGGAAGACACATAAATTCAAGCATGCATTTCATACAGGAAATCAACTGCTTTGTTAAATTGAGACCATAATAAGAACATGACTTCTTGACACTTTTTATTTAAGAACTTTCTTTACTATAGAAAATAGTTGTACTCTTCCTTTTTCAGAGTTTATGTTACACTTTTTATTAGTTCCTCTTCCTACTTTCTCCTTTTTAAATAGCAGCTAGTTTTTTCCGATTTTTCATAGATAACTATTATGCTTTTCTATGGAATCATTGATTGATTGAGGATGGAAAAGACCCTAAAAGTCACTGAGTCAAATCATCTTCTAAAGCTCTCCAGGGATGGTGACTTCACCACCTCCCTAAGCAGCCTGTTCCGATGCTTAATAACCCTTTCAGTGAAAAAGTTTTTCTTAATATCCAATCTAAACCTCTCCTGGTGCAACTTGAGGCCATTTCCTTTTGTCCTGTCTCTGATTACTTGGGAGAAGATACTGACCCCCACCTCACTACAACCTCCTTTCAAGCAGTTGTAGAGGGTGATAAAGTTTCCCCTAAGCCACCTCTTCTTGGGTGTTAATAATCTCAGCTCCCTTAGCCACTCCTCATTCTTACTCTTTATACCCATCCTGCATTTGGCAGGCTTTTCCAAATAACACTACAAGAGTACAGAAAGGTGTAAAATGAGGAAAGGAGTAGCTCAGTAAATAACTGAAGTCAGCATTGACTGAATATAATGTTACTTATGACACACAGTTGAGTATTCAGTCAGGTCTCTTTTACAAGTAATTTATATTCTTGACAGCCTGTGCATAGTGTTGTTGTGAAAATTAGAAGGATGTTAACATTTCATTAGTCTTGCCATTGATTTTTTCAGCTTTCTTCACAACAAAAGTCAAAACGTGACCTCTTATTCCACTGAATTAGTTCCAGAGCACTTGACATTATTGACCTCCTAATCAAAATTAATGATAGCTCTTCTGATTCAGTCTTTGAAGTAGGCACACCAAGCACATTTACGAAACAGGCACATTTATTTCTCATATTGAAATGAAATAACACACTGTTAAGTAATGAAATGTACATTAAAGCAACATTAAATTTGCAAATTCGAGCATACAGAATTCAAGAGATTTAAACTGCATTATAAGGAGCTGATGCTGCAAAGATTTAAGCTTGGCAATAAGTTCAGACCTTGAAAGCCAATGAGTTTTACAAGTAGGCTACGTATTTGCTCAGAACATTTCAGCCCAGGACTCTAAATGTAGTCTAAAATTCTGACAAGACTGAAATATTTTTACTATGCAGCAGAGACAGTTGGTCATTAGATATTTTCATGCTTTTCTTTTCCTTTTTAAACCTAGAGAAGAATTGAAAAAAATTTCAGCAACTTTTTTCTTCTGTGCTCACAAGCTGTCAACCCACAGTTGAGTGGATATCATTCATACAGAGATTTACACAATTGTTTCTGAGCAAACTGATTTCAGTTTATGGAGGCGGATCCCGTCTCCCTTACATTTGTGTAGATAAGGATTACCTTGACGGGGTGAAACATGAAAGGTGAATGGATTCGTATCTGGAGATTGGGTGAAACCTTTCCATTTTATCTAAACAACTTCCTATTCTTGGGAAATTCTCCTAGAAATAATTCCTAGGGAATTATCTATGAAATCTGCAAGACTAATGAAGAAACTAACTTACTTTCTTATTCTTTTTTTTTTAGACAACAAAGACTATGATGCATATCTTTCTTATACCAAAGTGGATCCTGATCAGTGGAATCAAGAAACTGGAGAGGAAGAAAGATTTGCTCTTGAGATCCTACCAGATATGCTTGAAAAGCATTATGGATACAAATTGTTCATACCAGACAGGGATTTGATTCCCACAGGAAGTAAGTCATATCCTTATGCTTGTGTGTTTCCTAAACAGCAAATACAGTGACTGCAGCAATTTGCTTTAGTACTATTTCTATCACTACTCCTTCAGAATGTCATCTTTCCTGACTTGTCTTAAAGAACAGTGAAGATAAGCCACCAAACAGAATGAATATTTCCCAGAGAAGAGGATTATTTTTTTTTAGTAATTGTATTATATTGGTTAAAAGTGAGACAGTGCAAAAAAGGGCATACATAAGTAAAGGTAATTAATGAAACTGACATTTTTGTCACAGACTTTTGAGAGCTTGCATATCTAGAAATGAATAGAGAGATCTTTGTTTTCTGTTCCTTAGAGTTTTTCTTGGAAGATATCCATAACTCTAAGTATTTATTACAGAAATTCAGACAGGAAAGAAAAAAATGTGTTTGGACTAAGGCAAAGGTTGAGTAATACTATCTACAGCAGAGCAAAGTAGCGAATTCTATTAGTGTTCACCGCAGATAAATGTGTAACGGTGGTACTGGATCATTCTCAGGGATTAGAAATTTGAATTGATTCCAACTGGTACAAGTAGATCTTCTTCATGTTTCTTTCACATATTCCAACCTACGTACAGTAAATTTTTGTGAGCTGATGTAGTATTTTTCATAATTTCATTATAACCATGTAGATAGCTACTAAGATGCATATCTTTTACTAAAGATAAGAAAGGATGCTTGGTATAGGCAGAGCACATCATCAAGCAGTCACAAGGATTTTTTTTTTTTTAAATCTACAGAAAACTAAACATTAATTTGCAGGAGGCAATACAGTTTTTGTCAATGTGTGTGATGGGAGCATGACATGAAAATAAGAATCTAACCCTACAGTACACCATAGAGTACCATCTGGGTTTGAAACTGAGCCCCTGAAGCATATAGTTGCTGCTCTGTTGCCTACTTGGGTGACTCTGTGTTTTTAAATAAAAAAAATTGTTGATGGGTACACTTCTTCCAATAAAGATACAGATACTGATAAAAACCTCAGCTCATGAACAAACACTCACAATCTATAGTGCATGGGGGAGTAGAGGTTTCACAGAACCACAGAACAATTGAGGTTGGAAGCAATCCCTGGCAGTTTTCTTGTCCAACCCTCCTGCAGGGCCACCTAGAGCAGGTTGCCAAGGAACATGTCCTGGCAAGCAAACCTGGCATGTTTACAAGTGATATTTTTGCATATTTCAGTGAGCTCTTCTGGGAGCACTGATTTGCCTCTGTTGTGTCTCCCTAGTCTGTGGGAGTGGAGCGTTTTCTTAGATTGTTTTTTGAGCAATTGTCTTGTTTTGTAGCCTACATTGAAGACGTGGCGAGATGTGTAGACCAAAGCAAGCGACTGATCATCGTCATGACTCCAAATTATGTGGTAAGAAGAGGCTGGAGCATCTTTGAACTGGAAACAAGGCTTCGAAACATGTTAGTCACAGGCGAAATCAAAGTGATACTGATTGAATGCAGTGAACTTCGAGGAGTTATGAACTACCAGGAGGTCGAGGCCCTGAAACATACCATTAAGCTCCTCACTGTCATTAAATGGCACGGACCAAAATGCAACAAGTTGAATTCCAAGTTCTGGAAACGTTTACAGTACGAAATGCCTTTTAAGAGGATTGAACCCATCACACACGAGCAGGTTTTGGATGTCAGTGAGCAGGGGCCCTTCGGGGAACTGCAGACAGTCTCCGCAATTTCCATGGCTGCTGCCACCTCCACTGCTCTTGCCACTGCCCATCCAGACCTGCGCTCCACTTTCCACAACACATATCACTCGCAGATGCGCCAGAAACACTATTACCGAAGCTACGAGTACGACGTACCTCCTGCCGGCACCCTGCCGCTTACCTCACTAGGGAACCAGCACACCTACTGCAACATCCCCATGACACTTATAAACGGGCAGCGGCCACAGACAAAAACTAACAGGGAGCAGAACCCGGAAGAGGCTCACACAAACAGTGCGTTACTGCCCCTCCTGCCACGGGAGACCAGTATATCCAGTGTCATTTGGTGACCGAAATTCAAGGGGCTGCCAACCCCCTTGAGTAGGAGCTGAGTCTGCAGTCCAGTGCCTGGAACTACATCCTCGACTGCTGCTGTTAAACATCCATTACAATCTATAACATACGAGGAAAAACAGGGTCTTGTACATATGTTTTTTTGCTATTTCTTTGTAGCATCAGTCTTCCTGTTTTACCCATGTCTCTTCCCATTCACATTTTTGACTTTGTTTTGTATGTCATTGGAATTTGTATATTTACATTTTTTTTAAACGAAGAGACTGCTGTATAGATAGGAGACTTTTTTGCTTCATTAGAATAGTTTTAGACTTTCTGTTTGGTTGGTTTTAACCTCTCTTGGGAATGCTTGGACAAAGCTATGTTGATATCAGAAGCACCGTCAATTTTTTTTTTTTGGCCTGCCTAGCCTGATTCCTGAAGGCCATGCCTGCTGCAGTTCACCTCTTTTGGAGAATATTTGTTCTTAGAAGGACCCCATCCCTCACTGGGCACTCCAGTTTTATTTCTACTCCCGTAATGTACACTGCTTCTTCCCTGCCATTACACTGACCCCCATTTGGGGTAACACTACAGTCTGATCATCTAACATGTAATTTGGTAGATACCTGTCAAACAACAGAATATACCCAATCTGTATTGTTTGATTCCCAGTAGTCACTACAGAGTGTGTAGAAACTAGAGATGGTTTGGTTTTTGCTTTCTTTGGTTTCTTTTTTTTTTTTTTAATTATTACTTTAAGAATGAACTGACTGTATCCCTTTTATAAATATAAAAGCAAACCCTATTTTTAACACTTCCTGGAAAAGCATTAATGTGGTTGTGGAATTTATTTTTGAGCACTTAACTTTTTCTTTTCCTCCTTTCAAAATTCTGCAAATAATTTGCAATTGTCAGGCAAGTAAAACAAGTGAGGCAATAGGCACTGAAGTGCAGAGAGTCCTGTTGATATTTACAGTACTGACTTCCAAACCAAAGGGGAATAAAAGACAGTATTGTAGATGGTTTGTCACTTTGTATTATAGAAAGTGTTATTTTCTAAAAAAAAGTAAGAGCAAAACATTATTTTGCTGTAGATTACAGATCCCCCTTGTATTTTAATGTTCCAGAAACTGTGTTTGCTTTAAAATTATATATTCAGGAGTAAGAAATCTTCTTTCATTTGGTTTTTGTTTGTAAGAACAAGTAAAACTATTAATTTCAACATGATTTCAGTAAAAACTTAGGCAGAACAGAAAACACACGAACACCAACATTGTTTTCAGAATAAACTTTATTTATACAAAATTAATATTTAAATCAGACCTGGAAATATTAAAACAATTTATTCACTTTAATGAATAAATAAATTAGGGTTTCTTTTCTGTATCATTCTATCTTTGAGGACTTGGAAGTAATGCATGTACTATGGCTACCAGGGAAGTTAAAAAAAAACCCACTATGTTTACATCTGGACATCTTTAAGACAAATGAAATAAGCATCTTACTCGTTTTTAAATAACAGAAAAATCCTTTCTGGTTTTAGCAAGAGAGCAGAGTGGTGTTGTAGCTCTATAATATACTCAGGCCAAGCTCTCTGCTAGAAGCAGCAGAGTGACTGGTTGCAGCACACTGTCATGTAGCCAGGAATTTGATTTACCCTGGCAGAAATGTAAGTGGTAGCCTGGTAAACAGACCTTATAGTTTCTTTATGTAATTAACATTAGGTATTTCTGTGGTAGCTGAATGATATTTGCCAATATAATGGATGCGTGGGGTTTGTTCATCACGATTATCACTATGAGAAAAACACAGCGTATAATATTTGGGTCTTCTAAATAAGAAGTTATGGGTAGAGAGCAGGTGAACTGCAGCTTGGGGGATGTTTGTGGGAATAATCCAGAACTGAGAGTGTGGGAGGAAATGACTATGCTCCTGTTGTGAAAGTCAAGAAATCTCAATATCTACATAACAAGTTAATAGAGCTTTGGGATGCGCACTGATTTTTATTTGCTTAAAAATGTTTATTTCTCTGACAATTTGCTCAAGTCCTTTTCTACAATGTGTTCTTTATTACAGTGTCTCCCGCTGGACATATGCCAAACATCCACAAAATGGAAATGAAGCTGCCAGGCCAGATAAAATTTTAAGAGAGCTTTGTACATTTGGTTATTTGCATAGTGTAAGAAGGCTATTAATTATTTGCTCTTACAGACACCTGTCAGGCACTGATGCCATTTTCATTCATTCATCTGGATGCCAAATACTCCAGTATCCTCTGAAAGCAATGTATTATTTTTTTCCTCTTTTCCTCTCCTTTACATGCCCCGGGGTAAAGAGTGGGATGTGGAATAAATGTAGGCTGTAACTATCTGACCACAGTCACATTTAGAGGATCGGTAGATGTTTCCTTAGCCACATGGAGAGTACTTTTCTGTTCTTCTATTTTTAGTGTAGATTTAAGCACTTTGAATAGCATGATTCAGGGATTGATGGATTCTATTTGATATTCACACTACTTAGAAAAAGTTTTTCTTACACTGTTTTGTCATAATATTAAAGAAAAGAAAAACAACAACAACAAAAAAAAATAAACCACAGAAGAAAACCTGAAATAAGTGGAGAAGCTGTGTATGGCTTTACAAACATTCCTCAGTATTTCTCACCTATGAACAGCTCTGTGTGGGGAACAGTGAAGGAAACTGTTGTGTTCACGTGCTCTATGTTTGATAGAAGTTCTGTTGGAACACAAAATAGAATGAAAAGAAACCACAACTAAACCTGTCAGTGCCCCAGTACTTAGGCTCCATATTTTTTTTGGTGAAGGTGTTTGACAATGCAGCCTGACGTGTGCATGCAATAGCCACATAGAAGGTTTAGCCATAAGCAAACAGCACTTTATTTTCAAAACTGCACAGTGTGATGGATTGGAAAAACTTACTCTGCCTGGTCAATAACTTCGAGTCTGTATGTGGATTCTATGCACATGAATTATCCAAGCATGGTGCTTTTTTATAAGGCTCTCTCTAATCAGGGTAGTCCTTGACACAAAACTAAAGGTCTCTGTTGCACAACCTGTGGAAATTCAGTATATAGGTTCTCTAGGCAGCACATATAGCTGGACAGAAATCAGGGACTGTACTGTATGCAGCTAATTATTTTGAAGGCAAAGTACATTACTGGGTCTGATTCTGTTCTCAGTTGCAGCAGTATGGTTAAAGAGTAAATCTAATAAAGCTGAATGAGTGTAAGATTGATTTGTGTGGGAGAAGAAAATTGGAAAGCAAAGAGAAGAGGAGTTCATATTTGCAGTCTCTGACAAGCTGAAATCTTGGCCGCAAGGAAAGCAGCAGCGAAATGTCTTTTGCATTTTAGTAGGGACCCAGTTCTCACCTGGCAGCCAACATCAAACACTTTCAGTATGATCTGGTTCAGAGCTAAACACTGTTAGGCTTAGATGCAAAGTAGGATTTTTCTATTACTGCACAGCTGTGAAAACCACGTGTATGTTACATAATGGGTGATAATCAGCGTCAAAATAATTGGAAAGCTTGTTATGCCAGTCTGCTAAAAATCACAAAGTTTTACTTGGATATTGTGCATTAATGATATATTTAAATTAAAGATAAATCAGTGAGATTTGGGGAAAACTGGCCTGTAAACAGCCTTCCTTTGTTCTTAAGTTGAAAAAAAAAAGAAAAAAACAACAAAAAACAAACTAAAACAAACCACCTTTGTCAGGCTAGTAAGCCTAAAGAGAGTTTAATTAAAATCCAAAGAATAAAAAAAAAATCATAGCACTAAAGTAAATTCAAAAATAGAATAAAGCTCAATGGAAAAGGTCAAAATACCTCCCTGGTTTTTGACTGTATTATGGCTTTTTTTGTCATGCAAAACTTTACTCTGGCTGATCTACATCAAATAACTGGCATTTTTGGGGCTCATCCAGGCAGATCAGCAACACAAGTGTGTCCCTACATGTCTAATATACTTTGTCATACACAAGATATTGTACTTGTGGATAGTCTATCACAGGGAATTTTTGGTATGTCTTCTGTTGTTTTGATAGAGAGGACGGCAGAAATCTGTCAGTGCTAAAAAAGATCTCCATAACAGGCTTAATTTCTTATCCAGAGAAATTATATTCCTGTACACCCACTCCTGTTCTGATTTGCTGTTATTACAATGCTTTTTTTTAACCCATTTCTCAGCTGAACAAGAGGTTAATATGACTGCCATCAAAAATAATGTAAGCAATTTCACAACAATGAGTCTCCTTGTATAATGAATGCTGTAAGTTCCCTTGCGTTTTTTTCTGTATAATCACAACTCTTCACCTCCCAAATAGTCCACTGAGCAGAGGTTGGAGAACAACATTGTGTCTTTCATTTGAGATTCACTGCATTCAGTATGGATATTGAGCTCTCATTTTTGATGTAATTTTTCTGGGCTATTTCCCATCATCTTGGCTATAATCTCCAAGACGACACGTTGACAGATTGATGTTCCAGAACTCAGAGTTGTTGTTGCCCTGGGGAGTGAAACTAATAGAAATGTTTCAGCTATTAAGAGTTTTCCTACCTTTTTTGTTTATTTAAATTCTGTTTAAGACAAGGTTTAACCTTTGTTCTGGACTAATAAGGCCTGCAGGTGACACATCAAGAGTCCACAGAGTCATGAATTAGAGCAGAAATTACAAAGGCAGGACTCATAACTTATTTGGAAAATGTATAAGTTCTGAAGCTGCTCAGATTACTAAAAAACTAGTGCATTGAGATTGAGTGTTGTTGAAGGCAAGTATTCTGTTATTACAACAAACATCATTCCAAAAGCTTAGCAGCTTTCTTAAATTAAGTAGCCAATATCCTAGATAATGTAATTTCAAAAACATTGGTGAGTGAAAACGTTTTTTATTTTGCTGGCTTAAGGTTATCATGATTCTCTAGAATCTAAATGTTAAATAAAATAGATAATCTTTATCTAATACTGAACTTACAGAAAATACAAACTTCTGTTT